TTTTTGAATAAAGGCATTGTGGATACATAATTCTAAATTAAAGAAATGCATATCTATAATTTTTTGTTGTAGCTACTAAATTATTATTTATATAATTTAATAAGAGTAAAATAGAGTACTAATTATGCCAACTTTGATTGGTATGAGGTTCGAACCTAAGACCGTTTTTTTTATTATTGAAATGAATGAGTAAGTTAACAGTGAACTAACGGCAATTCTTAAAATTTTAACGGAATTAGTAACGGTGTGTGGGTATTTTAGGAAATTTTAGTGTAAAATTTAAATCTTATCAATCTTTTAATCAATCTGAGCCATTCATTTGATTAAAATCTGTGACCGCCATTTTTTTTACCCATTATAGGCCTAACTCTCTTGGGCTCTTATTAGTATAGTAGATTATAGGCCTAACTCTCTTGGGCTCTTATTAGTATAGTAGATAGTATAGTAGATATTCAGCCACTTATAAACTCTAATAGGCAACTAAGATTAATACTCAGTTTTTAGAAAAGTACTCTTTTCTGATTTGATCATTCCCACTTTTACAAGAAGATTATGTTCTCATTTGATCTTGGCGGGGCTAGCTTGGTCTAACCATGGTGATTTCATATTGCTAATTTATATTCCATTAAACGAGGCAATGCCATGCACATGGCAAATTTTACATTACTTCAACGATGAAGTGTTGGTATGTACTCAATTATTAAAAAATAAAAAATAAAAAAATTCCACATTAATTATAAGTGTATGAATACTCATTCCCATCGATAATATCAATTCCGATGCAAGTGGAATTGAAAATATTGATTATAAATTCTTCTCATTAATATTTCTTGAAAATCTCATCAAATCTTCTGATAAATATATTTGTAAACATCGACATGATCACCAACATCATCAACAATCAATTTGGGACCATGTTTTTCGATGGACCCCAAACTATTTTAGATTGGGAAGTGATGTTCATTAATATTCTTAGGCCCTCTTCACTCATTTTTTTTTATAAAAAAAAAAAATCAAATTAGTCATCGAATTATGCACAAAAATGCATGCAATTAAGTCATTCAACTTAAAAATGTAACAATTAAATCTCTGAATGGTTCCAAATTATGCAATTCAACTAAATTTAACATTTTGCTATGATTATTACGTGACAATCATTCTATTAAAAAATTATTATATTTAAATTATTTTATTAAGTTTAAATAAAATAAAATTAAAAGAAAACAAAAAAGGCACTAAAAAGAACCCTCTCCCTCCCTCTGCATCTTCATCTCCAGCCGGAGACAAATAAAATGCTTCGTCTCCAAGCCTCTTCGTCTCCCACCTAGAGACGATGTGTTTTCTTTATCTCCAAGTTCAAGATTAAGCTTTTTCTTCATCTCTAACTTGGAGATGAAAAGCTTTCTTTGCCTCCATGTAGGAGATAAAGAAAAACTCTTCGTCTCTAGGCTGAAGATGAAGATAAGGAGGCGGTGAGTTTTTTTATATTTTAAATTAGTAAAATAAATTAAAAATAATTATGTTTAATAGGATGATCGTCACGTTAGTGATAACCTAAAGAACAAAATAAATATGATCGAATTGCATAAGTTTGAATAGTTCATGGGTCTAATTGTATTTTTTTAGTTGAATTGAATGACCCGAGCGTACTTTTGTGTATAGTTTGGTGGCTAATTTGAATCTTTTTTTTTTAAAATAAGTGAGAAAAAACTACAAAAAATCAAATTTATAAATGAAAAATTCATAATTAAAGCAATGAAATTCGTAAATATTTAATTCGTAATTGTTTTAGTTTGTTCTTATAGCAAAAAAATAATAATAAATAAATAAATAAATGAAGATCGCATGTGTTTAATGTTTTCTTTTTCAATGTATAAATGAAAAACATGAGTACATAGTACTTGCAATCAATTAAGGTTTTTTTTTTTTTTTTTTTTTTTTTTTTTTTTTTTTTTTGTGAACTATTTTCCATTAGGAGAATGAAAGGTGAAATTTTTGAAAAATGGAATTCGGGAATGGTATTCTTCTTTATAACCACATTTGTACTTTTTAAATTTTAGAATTTGATTCCGGTCTAATTAGGGTTTTAATGAAAGTTATTATTCTTCAAGTTGCATTTCTATTATCCCATCGCTTCGTTAGAATGTGTACTACAATCAGATAAGCCCATAATGCGGAGCAAAGGTCATTTTATACAATCTATCGTTATACCCTGCACCACGGCGTACAGGATAGTTATGCTGTGCATCCGTATGCACCATGTATGGTGCATACGGATGCTAAAACGACGTCGTTTTATTAAAAAACGCGCATCTCCCCTTTAAAAAAAATTCAGGTTCGATTCCCAGCAACAACATTATATTGTTCATTCATTATGGAATTTAGTTCATAGATTATGAAATTATAGTTCATTGATTATGGAATTATAGTTCATCGATTATGGAATTGTAGCTCATCGATTCTGAAATTTTAGTTTATAGATTATGGAATTTTAGTTCATTCATTCTGGAATTTTTAGTTCATAGATTAGATTATGGAATTATAGTTCATCGATTATGAAATTTTAGTTCATATGTTGTTGCTGGGAATCGAACCTGATTTTTTTTTTTTTAAGGGGAGACGTGCGTTTTATTAAAACGACGTCGTTTTTTCATCCGTATGCACCATGCATGGTGCATACGGATGCACAGCATAATTTGCCCGGCGTACATTGCACTGTGCGCCCCGCGCCTTCGAAAACGACGTCGTTTTGGGAGGCGTGGTAGGGAGTTGACGTGATTATGTGTATTTGTTTATACAATTATGTGTATTTTTTTATACAGTTATGTGTGTTTGTTTATACAATTATGTGTATTTGTTTATACAATTATGTGTATTTTTTTATACAGTTATGTGAAACGACGTCGTTTTGCATCAGGGCGCACAATGCAATGCGCGCCCTGGTGCACGATATAAATTGCCCATTTTATATTTAAAAAAAAAAAATCACTATTTTAGTTCCTCAATTGTTTTCCAACTGTCAATGTAATCCCTAGCTAGTTTTCAATTTTTACTAATTTGATCCTCGAATTGTTTAAAATTCAGTCAATTAAACTCTTTGATGGGTCAAATTGACGAAATTTTAAAAATAGGAAAATAACCATTTTGGTCCGTCGGAGGGGTTTAATTGACGAAATTTTAAATAATTCGATGATCAAATTAGATAAAATTGAAAACTAGGATCTACATTGATAGTTGGGAAACAATTGAAGGACCAAAATAATAATTTTGACAATTTAATCTCGATAAATATTTATGTGGACCATAATCCATGTAGCATCATGGATCATGAATTAAAATGACGTCATATTATTTTAATTGCACTTCATTTTAATTTGACAATATACGTTTTTTAGTTTCATTTTCCACACAATCACACACTAGTTTCATTATATATGGTATCGTTGAAGTATCATTTTAATTATACTTTAGATTCATTTCATAATATACATTATTGCAAGAAGTATGTTTCTTAGTTTTATTTCCACACACACTAGTTCCATTATAGTAACGCTAAAGTATTATATTAATTACACTTCAGGTTCATTTTACAATATAATATATAAATGTTATTGTATGGGCTATATTTATTAGTTTCATTTTCCACCTATACTAATTTTATTATAATAATGCTTAAGTATCATTTTAATTACGACACTTTAGGTTTATTTGAGCATAAAAGAAGTGGAAGAATTTAAATTTTGGGAGAAAGAATTTGCAGAGAGGAGGAAGAGAGAATTTGAGAAAATTCAAGGATAATTGTGTATTAAAAATCAACATAAAGTGTGCTTACAATCTACCCCATATATATATATATATATATATATATATATATATATATATATATATATATATATATATATATTCAAATTTGGCATGTATTATTAGTAAACTAACGAAATCGACCTAGTAGCCCAACAATACATTCAAATTTGGCATAATGTATTAGCCTAAACCCAGAAGCTTAGACTTGCTAAGCATGTGTGTTAAGCAATTTTAAATGTCATTAGTATCCAAGATCCAACGCATGGAGTTGTCATCTCTACACGGCAAACAATTAGGCGTTAGCTTCACCTTGGAACCGTGACTTGATAGATTGTGTCTAACCTAACTAGACGCTGAGTATTCTAAGATAATCTTAATATATATAAATAGATCAGAAAATCAATAACTAATTATGATTTTCTGTCTTTGCATTATTATTTTTCTATTTCAGTTATTGATAATTGTATTCAAAGATTGATTAAGCAGCTGAGTCTAATCGGTCTATGTAACATATATAGTGTACAAAATAATTACAAAGACTATGACCACAAGACTTAAACCGGCAGCGCAGGTACTCATTAGCCATCACCAAGCAAGTTCCGTGCCGGGTAGACAGATCGCTGATAATATTCTAGCATATCAAGAGGTGCTTAATTAATTCTTATAGGACAAAAAGTGGTGTCAAGGGGTGGATGATTTTGTAACGACCCTGCAAGCTGGTCCAAATGGTGAAGATAAGGAGGGGAAGGGAAGAGAAGCAACGAATGAGAAAGAGAAGTCTGTAATTGATAAAGGCTGAAAGTCGAGGGACCAAAACGACGCCGTAAGAAGGGTGGTTGAAAGAGCCGTTATAATTTAAGCCATACGACGTCGTTGTGAAGGAGCCGTTGCGGTGGTTAAAAGAAGGCATCAGACGACACCGTTTTGAAGCATCTGTTATTTCCTTTTGCTGAACGAGCTCCTGGATTGAAGGGGACTGTTATGCCAGCTATTTTTCATTGATATTAGCTTTATTTTTCTGTTGCCTTAGCCTTAAAAGGGGGTGTAAACAGCAGAGAAGTTTTATGGAATGAATACAGCCCTATTTTCTTCTTCTTTCTCCTTCTATTTCTCCCCTCTACCCCAAATTCCCCATTACTAGACCGTAGATCTGGTTCTTTTACTCAAGTGCCTTACATTTGGTATCAGAGCTCGCGATGGAGGACCGTATGCGAAAGTTAGAGGCTACCGTGATTGAGCTCAACAGCAAAATTGACAACGGGATCCAGGCCACACAAGATTCAGTCACTGAGTTGAGCTCACAGATGAATACCCAGTTTGCATCCTTCAGAGATGAGATGATCAACTTACTGCGGCTGAATCGACCTGCACCTCCAGTCATGGGACACTCACCTGGGCAATCCTCAGTCCAAGGGCGAGTTCCTGAGAGTTCAGGAGGCAGGCCAGACAAGGCACCTGTGCAAGAGCCTGAACTGGAAGAATTGGACCCTGAGACAATGGCTTCTGAAGGGCCACAAGCTGAGTGGATCCCTAGGAGAAGGATAGTGGGGGGCCTCAGGCCAGGAGCAGGACAAAATTCAGACATTTACCCCCGATTTAAAAGTGAGTTTCCACCCTTTGATTACGCTAATCCTAGACAGTGGGTGCTCAGGTGTGAAAAATTCTTTGTGTTATCTCATATTCCTAGATATGATGTGATAAATCTGTTGTATGTCCACTTGAGTGGGAAGGTTGGACTGTGGTTTGAGGGGTACATTCATGGGTTGAGAGAAGGGTTCCAATGGATAGACTTTGCAGAGGCTGTGTGTAAGCGATTTGGGGATAGTGGTGTGTCACTCATGGAGGATTTTACTGCCTTTAAGCAATGGAGTGGAGTGGATGAGTATACTGATGGGTATGAGGGGTTCAAAAGCCTTTTATTGCAAGCACACCCTGGTCTCACAGAGAACTACTTCCTGGAAAACTACATTGCTAGGCTCAAGCAAAATCTAAGATGCTTTGTCAGAACTGCCAAGCCAAACAGTCTAGAAGATGCCATCTGGCTAGCCAGACAGTATGAAAAGGGGCTGAAAGGGAGTGATGGACCTAAGGCTCCCAGTTGGAACTCCAAACCTACACAAAACCCCAGAACATATAGCCCAAATACCAACCAATCTTACCCTCAGAACCCAAACCACAAACCACCCTTACAACACCAACCTACTGCCTCTAAATCACCAGAGGTCACCCAATTCAGAAACCAACTAAGAGAACAGAAGAGGTGCTTCAGGTGTTTTGAACCCTGGCAGCCTGGGCATAAGTGTAGTGGTCCTACCTTCAATATCATAGAGGGCCTGGAGAACAATGAATTGCCTAGCTTAGTGGAAGCAGAAGAGGATGGGACAATTCCTGAAGAGGCAGAAATATCATTATGTGCTGTGGTGGGTGGAGAAGGCCTAAATACTATTAAGTTGTTGGGATGTATCCAGAGGCAGCCTATTGTCATACTAGTAGACAGTGGAAGCACCCATAGCTTCCTTGATCCCCAGTTGCTTGATCACATGAGGAGGCAACCTGAGAAGGCCAAAGCCTTGGAAGTCACAGTGGCAAATGGTGATAAGGTGATTAGTGATTCAGTTTGCCCCAATCTGAGTTGGCAGATACAACAAGAAAGTTTTACAAAAGATTTCAGGTTATTGAGACTTGGGGGTTGTGATATGGTGCTTGGTATGGATTGGGTGGATCTGTTTGCCCCCATTCAGCTACACACAAGGCCCCCTGGTATTTCTTTCCACAAGGATGGGAGAAAAGTTTTTCTGAAGGGATTGGCTAAGAAGGTGATTTTGAAAGCTGCCACAGACAAGCAGCTTAAGAAATGGCACAAAGAAGGAGTGCAAGGCTTCCTTGTGCAATGTTGCACTGTGACAACCTACAACTTACCCTCCAAATCAGCCACCAATATCACTGAACCACAACCTAAGTTTCCTGAGCTCAGCAGTTTACTCTCAGAGTTCCAAGACCTATTCCAAGAACCAAAAACCCTACCACCCAAGAGAGCCTTAGACCATACTATCACCCTCATACATGGAGCTAAGCCTGTTAATGTGGGGCCTTATAGGTATTCTTTTGATCAAAAGAATACCATTGAGAAAATGGTTGATGAAATGTTGGCTGCTGGGGTGGTTACCCCTAGCTCTTCTTGCTTTGCATCCCCAGTCCTACTTGTCCCCAAGAAAGATAGCTCATGGAGGTTTTGTATAGATTACAGAGCACTTAACAATATCACAGTGAAGAATAAGTTCCCTATTCCACTAGTGGAAGACCTTTTCTCAGAATTGTCTGGAGCCAACTGTTTTTCTAAGCTGGATCTCAGGTCAGGGTACCATCAGGTTAGGATGAAGGAAGGGGAGGAATTCAAAACAGCATTTAGGACTCATCAGGGGCTCTATGAGTTCAAGGTGATGCCATTTGGGCTCACCAATGCACCAGCTACCTTTCAAGCCCTAATGAACTCAGTATTCAAACCATTGTTGAGGAAATTTGTGTTGGTTTTCTTTGATGATATACTGGTCTACAGTCCTAGCTGGGAAGTCCATTGGCAGCACCTAAGAGAGGTCCTTCTAACCATGAGACAGCATCAACTTCTAGCCAAAATGAGTAAGTGCTCATTTGCACAAACTCAAGTGGAATACTTAGGGCACATCATCTCCCAGGAAGGCTTGCAGACTGATCCTACTAAATTGGAAGCTGTGGCAGCTTGGCCTAGACCTAAGACTGTCAAGGCCTTGAGGGGTTTCCTAGGCCTTACAGGCTACTACAGAAGGTTTATAAGAGCCTATGGGGTGTTGAGCAAACCCTTAACAGAGATGTTAAAGAATGATGGATTTAAATGGGGTCCAAAGTCTGATCAAGCTTTTGAGCAACTCAAGTCTGCTTTGTGTAATTCCCCAGTTCTAGCATTGCCTAACTTTCAGAAAGACTTCATAGTGGAAGCTGATGCAAGCCATAAAGGGATGGGGGCTGTGCTAGTCCAAGAGGGGAAGCCTATAGCCTTTTTCAGCAAAGCATTTGGGGAGAAACACCTTGGGCTGTCTATCTATGAAAAGGAATACCTTTCCATTATAAATGTTGTGGATAGATGGAGACCATACTTGTTAGAAAGGCACTTTGCTATCAAAACTGATCACCATAGCCTTCAGTTTCTCTTAGAACAAAAGATTACTACTGCCCTACAACAGAAAGGATTATCTAAGCTTCTAGGGCTGGACTACTCCATCCAGTACAAGAGAGGGGCAGATAACCAAGTAGCTGATGCCCTATCCAGAAGGGACTATGATGAAGGTCCAGTTTTGAATGCAATCTCCGTAGTACAACCTCAGTGGTTAGAAGAGGTTCTCAATAGTTACACAGGGGACACTTGGGCTTCCACTAATCTGACTGCTGCCCTAATTGACCCTACAGACACTACCATTACAGTCACTAGTGGGCTCTTAAGATATAAAGGCAGGCTTTATATTGGCTCCAATGGAACCTTGAGGAAGGAATTGATGTTGAAACTGCATGAATCTGCCATTGGGGGACACTCTGGTCAAACAGGTACATACCAAAGAATGAAGGCACTCTTCTATTGGAAGGGGTTGAAGAGAGATGTGATTGAGTTGGTTAGGACATGTGACACCTGCCAAAGGTGCAAACATGAGAATGTGGCCAATCCTGGTCTTCTACAACCCTTAAACATCCCAGAAGAAGCTTGGCAAAGCATTTCCATGGACTTCATAGAGGGTTTGCCACTGTCCAAGCAGAAAAATGTCATCTTAGTGGTGGTTGATAGATTGACAAAATATGCACACTTCATTGCAGTATCTCACCCTTACACTGCTGAAATTATTGCTAATCTCTTTATGGAAAATATATACAGATTACATGGGCTTCCTAGGAGTATCATCTCAGACAGAGACAAGGTATTCACCAGTAGGTTTTGGCAGGCTCTATTTAAGAATATGCAGGTCCAATTAAATCTTTCCACAGCCTATCACCCCCAAACTGATGGCCAAACAGAAAGGGTCAATCAGTGCTTGGAAAGTTACCTGAGGTGCATGGCTTTTCAAAAACCTGCTAGCTGGGGAAAGTGGCTTCACCTTGCAGAATGGTGGTACAACACCAACTACCATTCTGCCTTGAAATGCACCCCATTCCAGGCCCTCTATGGGTATACTCCCCCAGCTCTAGTCTGCAATGCAATCCACAAGGATGATGAGTCCAGTTGGCTGATTGAAAGAAATGCTGTGTTGGCCACTCTTAAGGAGAATCTGAAACAAGCCCATAATAGGATGAAAGTTCAGGCAGATAAGGGTAGAAGTGAAAGGATCCTCATGGTGGGAGATTGGGTTTATTTGAAGGTACAACCCTATAGACAGGTCTCTTTAGCAGTCAGGAGCAACCTCAAATTGGCTTCTAAATACTATGGGCCCTACAAGGTCATTGAGAAGGTGGGGGCAGTAGCATATAAGTTGCAATTACCTGCAGGAGCACAATTGCATCCAGTGTTTCATGTTTCCCAATTGAAGAAAAGGGTGGGGGAAGGCACAGTGGTGCAGCTCGACCCTCCAGTACTGGACAAGGATGGGCAATTGTTGACTGAACCTGTCGCAGTATTGGGCAAGAGATTAGTGGAGAGAAACAACCAGGCTGTTACACAACTTCTGGTACAGTGGGCTAATCTCCCTGACTCTGCTGCAACCTGGGAAGATTATTACCACTTGAAGAGCCAATTTCCTTCTTTTGATCCTTGGGGACAAGGATCGTCTAGTGGGGGAGGTGATGTAACGACCCTGCAAGCTGGTCCAAATGGTGAAGATAAGGAGGGGAAGGGAAGAGAAGCAACGAATGAGAAAGAGAAGTCTGTAATTGATAAAGGCTGAAAGTCGAGGGACCAAAACGACGCCGTAAGAAGGGTGGTTGAAAGAGCCGTTATAATTTAAGCCATACGACGTCGTTGTGAAGGAGCCGTTGCGGTGGTTAAAAGAAGGCATCAGACGACACCGTTTTGAAGCATCTGTTATTTCCTTTTGCTGAACGAGCTCCTGGATTGAAGGGGACTGTTATGCCAGCTATTTTTCATTGATATTAGCTTTATTTTTCTGTTGCCTTAGCCTTAAAAGGGGGTGTAAACAGCAGAGAAGTTTTATGGAATGAATACAGCCCTATTTTCTTCTTCTTTCTCCTTCTATTTCTCCCCTCTACCCCAAATTCCCCATTACTAGACCGTAGATCTGGTTCTTTTACTCAAGTGCCTTACAGATTTTAAAAATAGATTTTGAGAAAACCTACGATAGGCTATCTTGGAGTTTTTTAAGTTCGACCTTGGAGCATGTTGGTTTTAATCAAACTTGGATAAGAAATATAATGGCTTGCGTGTCTACTTCAAGGTTGGCTATTCAGTGCAACGGTAAGAAATATGAATGGTTTAGACCATCTCAGGGGATACGTCAATGAGACCCCATCTCTCCCCCCTTGTTTGTGCTACGTATAGAAAGACTTAACCAGTTCATCAACGAGAAAGTTAAATTGGGAGATTGGAAAGGAATTAGGATTACTAAGTGTTAGTTGGTCTCATATAGGGATTAGGAATATGTGTTTGTCTCATATTAGGAATAAGAGTGAAGCAAGTAGACCCATTGTATAGGGATGCCTATAAATATATTGGTTGTATCCCTAAGGGGTCGTATCAGATCACCACCATAACCATCACTATGAATTAAAGAATAGTTTCACTCATGTGGACGTAGGCACTTTGCCGAACCACGTAAATCTTGTCTTCTTTACTTTTCTGTCATTATTAGTGTTTCTTGTTCTTGTTAATCTCAACAAATTGGTATTAGAGCACTGTTGAGATGACAAGTTCAAGTACAAAATTCGAGGTATCAAAGTTTGATGGTACATGGAATTTTGGGTTATGGCAGTCTAGGGTAAAAGATTTGTTGGCACACCAGGGCCTTCTGAAAACCTTGAAGATGGAAAAGCCAGCTAATTTGAGAGAGGCTGATTGGAGAGAGTTGAAGAAGCAGGAAGCTACGGACGTGGTACATGTTGATGACTCTTATTATAGTGAAGGTGACGTTCTAGCAGTAACTAGTGACAAGATCAAACAGTGTTTGGATTTGTTGGGTGTTTCTAGATGCTAGATGAGAAGGTGGTGAGGGGCGCTGTAGTGTTGGGCAGCGCGGATACCAGGAGTGGTCGTGGACCTGGTATGGGCCGGGTTTGGCATGAGTCAAGGCTGGTGTGATAGATTGCTTGGGACGAAGAAGTTTGTGAACATGCACGGGGAAACGTTTGATGGTGCGTGTTACTCACGCGATTGCTGGTTAGTGGAGCATTGGGCAAGGCACACGGGTTTAGTGTGACTTTTCAGGGGCGCTTTTGTGTTGGGGCAGCGTGGATACCAGGAGGGGACATGGACCTGGTATGGGCTAGATGCAGAAGGTTAGCTGAATGGGACAGTTAGCATTAGTCGTGGCTGGTATAACAAGTCGATGGTTGAGGGCGAATGACTTGGGACAAAGCGGTTCGCGTACATGCATTGAGAAACGTTTGATGCTGCATGATGCATGTGGCTGGCTAGTTGGGATGAGCATGGTTGTTCCTACCCATGTGTATATGTAAGATAAGTCTTTTCTCCTAAAGGGCATATTTGTGAAGGTAGAGATGGTGATAAGCGTAAAAAACACTTGTTTTATAGAGACATTCAATGGCTGTTTTGAGCAGGATTTGCTTGATTATGCTTAGTTTTGAGACCGTTTAAGCTTTTTTGCTATAATTTACAAATAGAGCACTTCATTTTTAGACATTCCATTCTTAGATTAGAGAGTAGAGGGTAGAGAGAAGAAGGAAGGAGCACTTGGATTGAAGATCTTGTATTTTTGAAGATTTGATTGCTTTCTATTGGTACAATCTTTCCTTATCTTTTTACCTTGCTTTATAAACTTGATTTCTATTTGCTTGCAATTGATCCATGATAGAACTAGGGTTTCTTGCTTTTATTATGCAGTAGCTAGATTACTTGGTTGAGTTGGGATCTAGGTTCTATGATTTTGGGATTGTTGCTTGATTGATGAAGTGGTTGTTGATATGAATGCATCTTGTGTGTTGAACTTGTCTTGTCTAGACTTTGTCTATTTGATGGCCACAATTGGACATAGGTTAGGGTGGAGATTGGTGTAAGAGATTGACATATCTCCATAGCCCCGGAAGTTTAGCATCCCCGCCCTACGATCCGAGAGGGCTAGGTCTGGGAGGGGTGGTAGACAAGGTGTTCGATGAAATGCCTCCACCGACGTAGGTAGATGGAGAGACTAGGCTTGTCGTAGCTTAGTGATGTGCCGTGACCCTCACATTGATTCCTTTCATTTCGGCAACTCAATTGCTCTTTCTAGAGTAGAGTGTCCCAATATCGTGGAACCAATGAGACCGACTCAACCCACACTTCCTTTGTGAGTTCCTTTAAGTTTCCCTTTGGTGTTAAGTGTCATGTTTGCTAAGTTTCAAAGCCTAGTATCTTACCTTGTAGAATTTCACGAGTAGAGCACTCTAATCAATCCCAATTTGTCATCCTTGAGAACGACAATCCAGGAAATTCCATTTCCCAACCTACTTTCCACCCCATGCAAACTACAAACCCTATCAGATGGTGAGATAAGTCTTTTCTCTTAAAGGGCATATTCGCCAATGTGTAGATTTATTGAGTTATATTTTTCTCCTAAAGAGCATATTCGACAAGGTGGAGATTGTTGAGTTTGTCTCATATAGGGATTAGGAATATGTGTTTGTCTCATACTAGGAATATGAGTGAAGCAGGTAGACCCATTGTATAGGGATGCCTATAAATATATTGGTTGTATCCCTAAGGGGTCATTTTAGATCGCCAACATAACCATCACTATGAATTGAAGAATAGTTTCACTCCTGTGGACGTAGGCGCTTTGCTGAACCACGTAAATCTTGTCTTCTTTACTTTTCTACCAATATTATTGTTTCTTGTTCTTGTTAATCTCAACACTAAGAAAGGTCCAGAGGTATCACATTTGTTTTTTTGCCAACGACATGCTTTTATTTGGTGAAGCTTCAATGAACCAGACTCTAGTTATATATGAAGGAATGCCTTGATATTTTTTTGTAGCCATTCGGGACAGAAAGTCAATTATCAGAAGTCCCTTATTTGTCGTTTCTCTAAGAATACAGCTATGTTAGCTCAAATGTCTATTGCTGAAGCACTGCAAATACCTATGACAGATAACTTAGGAGTTTATTTGGGTGTGTTATCTCTTCATGGCAGATTGAAGAGGGAAACTTATTCGGGGTTAATCTCGAAGGTGCAAAATAAGCTCACAGGGTGGAAGATGCGATCCCCCTCTCTAGCTGGCAGAAGAACCTTGGGCGCAATCAGTGCTTACTGCCATCCCTGTTTATACGATGTAATCCACCCCTCTCCCAATAGGTGTGATTTCGAAAATTGAAAAAGTAATTAGGGACTTCATCTGGGGTTCCACCAGGGATGCAAGAAAGTGTAATTTGGTTGCTTGGGATACTATCACTCAGGCAAAAGAGCATGATGGTCTGGAATTCGGAAACTCGGTACAATGAACCAAGCCTTCTTCATCAAGCTCGTTTGGAGGCTACACTCCCAGGAGGACAGCCTTTGGTGCATGATTATGAAGTCTAAATATATGAATCATAATAGTAATCCTCAGACTTGGCAACCAAAGCACGAATGTTCAAACACATGGAAAGGGATTCTTGGCGCCACTTCCACTATGTTGAAAGGTCTGCGGAAATATGTCAAGAACGGGAAATCAACTCTGTTCTGGTTGGATTCTTGGCTCGGCCACCGACCTTTAGCGGACCCACTCCATTCACACTTACCACTTCTGGAACTGTATGCGATAGTGGCATATTATTGGGGTGCAAACTCAGGATGGAAATGGTTCCGCTTAACGAACTTGCTTCCGACTGATACTCTGAATCGTTTAGCCGCCTTTGTTTTATACACGATGACAATCAGGAGGATGCTGTGGGATGGGTGGACGAGAACTCCGATAAGTTTTCAATAAAGACAGCTTACAAACTGATCATGGGTGATTGTGAAGCAGATGACATGCATGGTTGGAGTGCTATATATGGAAACTTAAGGTCCCTAGCCGAGTTCAAGTATTTTAATGGCTTGCAAGGCATGAAAGACTAATGATGAATGCCAAAAGAATTAGACAGGGGTTTACTGTAAATGGAAACTGCAATCTCTGCTACGGTCTCATTGAATCTACAGAGCATATTCTTCGCTATTGCCCTAAGGCTAGAGAATTATGGGAGCACCTTCTTCCTAATATGCTTCGAAATTCTCAGAACCTTTCTTTAACAGGTTGGCTAGACGCCGGAATTAATGGGTTCCACGATAGCAATCGTAAACAGAAACTGAGTTTCACCTTTGCTGTAGTCACATGGTGGCTGTGGAAGTGGAGAAATGATAGAGTGTTTAACACTAGAGACAATGAGCTGAGATTTAAGGTCTACTGGATCTAAAATCAGGTTTCGGAGATCAATTCCGCGTTCAAAAAGATGGTAGGACCAGCCTCCCAGTTGCCTAACAGAACTTGGAGGTTTATTAATTGGTTGAAACCACCAATGGGGTGGATCAAAAGTTTCATGCACAAAACGGGTGTGTGCGCGGCTGAGACGACTGAGGCTTGGGGTTTAATGAAAGGCATTCGGTTAGCCATTCTGTTAGGTAGTAAGAAAACAATCTTTGAATGTGATTCTAGCTCTATAATTGATGCCATCGGTCCAGGATTAAGAGTCAATAATTTGGTGGACAACATTCTGCATGCTTGTAGATGTGAGCTTAGGAATGTTGGCGAATGGAATTTGGTGCTAACTGCAAGAGAACAGAATCAGGCTGCAGACTTTCCTGCTAGATGCGCCCATTTTCACTCGAACTCTTGCGTCCTAGACGACCCTCCCGATGACCTCATGCAGATTTTAGTGGATGATCGAGGTGGTGTTCCTGCTAGTCGTCTCTGTGTAGAGTAATTCCTTTTTTCTTTTTCTTTCCTGATGTCCCCCTTCCATTAGATATTAAAAAAAAAAACATTTTATTATAATTTTTTCATTTTTATTCTAATATATCAAATTAATTAAATCAACTACAGACAGGGATAGATCCATAATGAGGGCAGTTGCCCCACCCCCCCCCCCCCCACCCCCTCCCCCTCCCATCATAGTAGCCCCTTGTGCACACGCACGCGCACGCGCACGCGCGCACACACACACACACTCACATATAAGACAGATCAGGTGTAGATGTTTCCTTAGGTGAAAAATAAAGTTTAATCTCATCCATTGATTTAGTCTAAATCAATGGTCTATAATGAAAATATCTTAAAAGTGAACGTGGTGGCATTATGATAATTTTATGTAAGTAAATTTTTTTGTCTTTCAGTGCTTTTTTTCCTTCTTGTAGAGTACAATGTTGTACCATTTATAGCACACTGAAGTGCTTTTCAAGGCACACTGATGTGTTTTTCACTTTTTCAGTGCACATTGTTGAGCATTCTAGAGCACATTGTTGAGACTTCTAGAGCATATTGTTGTGTCTTCCAAAGCATATTGTTGTGCCTTCCAAAGTACATTGTTGAGCCTTTTAGGACACATTGTTGTGTTTTCCAATGTACATTGTTGTGCCTTTCATGAGATAATTTTGTGTCTTCCATGATTTGAACATAATGCAAAGATAGTAAATCAGATATGGTTTAATTTACTGTAGGTCAGTAGATGGCATCGTGTAGATTAGAAGTGCTTTTTTTTTTAGCCATTGATCAAGACAGATCAAAGGCTCATATTTCTCCTTACTTTTGCATCTGAGACCTTCTACGCAACATAAGCATATATATATATATATATATATATATATATATATATATATATATATATATATATATATATATACTAGTTTTTTCGACGCGCTTTGCGCGAAAACTTGTGCCCAATATTTAAACTAAATTAGTAAATCATTTTGAAATAGATAAAATGAATTTGTAAATTTTTTTTTTTTTTTTTTTTGAGTTGACGAAGTTTCATAAATATTCACGTATAATTTATTTTGTCTGTAATTTTAAGTAAAGGTACTCAATGTTATATTACATCTATTTTCTCTTTATGTTATTTAGTTAACATGTATCTTCCATTGTTTCCAATACATAAAGTATGTTGCTTATTGGTCCTATAAGATTTCAAAATGAAAGTGACAAATGTTGTAATAGTAGTTGTTTTGATTGAGAGTACCATTTTTGTTACATGTAAAATGACATATTTTACGAAGAAAGCATATTGATGTAATTAAGGCAATTGCAAATAAAATTTGTTTAAATGTATTTTTCTTCCAGTTAGAGATATATCCCTTCTAAATTCATATTGTCGTAGTAAAATCCAATATTATGTGAGCGGATCATATCTTGTATCCAAACCTAAATAAAGTCATGTGTTAACTTACCATTAGCAAACATTTAAGAACATATGCACTATAAAAATTACATTTAAGAAGTTTTGTAGTACTATTATAATTATTCATAGATATGAACCTATTGAATTGAGTAAAAGATAGTCTCTCAAAAATTTGACGAAAAAGTAGAATTTGTCATTTTGTGTAGGTTTTTCATTGAAACCTAATAGAAGAATTAACACTATCAATTAGAAAAAATTGAACGACCAGCCTAATACAAGTTAATTAAAGTTTGCAAAGATGTAATTAATTTAGATTTTCAATTTCATAATATATTATTTTTAAAAATAATTTTGTAATAAAAATTACAGTAGTAAATGGTTGTACAAAATTTCTATATACTTTTGCAAAATTTAAAAGATTGAAAATAAATTCAATTAAAATTTATAAGATATTAAAGAAATTTTTAATACAAGATATTGAGTATTTCACTCTACTTGGGAAATTTGAATATATCCCGCCACCCAAATTCAAATATATCCCGCCAACTACCAAAGAGTTGTTGGCGTGTTTGAATGCAAAGCAAAGAATCAAACAAAAATGGCTTGGATTTGGAATCTTGTATTCCTCAAGTGCAGTTCAGTGGTGTCCTTTCAGGTACCACTTTCATGGAAGGAAATGAAGCTTTCTCTTTACTGCTACTACATGATGAAGAACACATGCATTTATATTTGTCAATGAAATGAAATGGGGGGGGGGGGGGGGATCTATTCTAGCACATTCATTATCAGCAATTCAGCATCAAGGGAGGGCAAACTGGCACTTCAGCACAACTTTGGTTCCACAATTGGGTTCATTCAATTACATTCGCAATACAAAATATAAATAATATTAACATTTAAGACAAGACACTACATGCTCATCACGATATGATAATCATATACTTCAAATGTCATTCAATGGATTTCCATTTTATAGCAGCACTGTAGCATTAATCCTTTATGATTCTCTCACTTTTAAAAAAAAAAAAAATTTAAGACTAATAAGTATGTAAGAGTTCATATGCAGCCCTCTAACAAATTGATATTGATTTTAATTCCAGCCAACTTGTTAACATTTAGACATGCTCTACACCAGCCTTCTCCCATTTATGTCCTTTTGGATAAAATGTCCAGACCTCATAAATTTATTACTCCATATTTGAAATTGAATACACAAAGAAGAATAAAAAAAAAAAAAAAAAAAAAAAAAAAAAAAAAAAACCTGAAACCTGATCTGTACCACACTATCTTTTTGGGAATCAACAAACTAAATAAGCCAGTAACAATAAGCAAATGAATCCAAGGTTCAGGTGAAGCATCATGCTTCAATACATATGATCAATCTATACACCCAAATACTTGAACCTGAAAACATAACACCATGGAACTATGGAAGCTATAAGTAGAGCAATATCACATATGGTGACTGAAATCGCCTAAAATGTTATGATAGCATATATATACTATCATTATGAATACATAAACTATGTAATGTAATTATAATAAAATAAGGCTTCCTAAATAATCATGGGCTCGGCATGTATCACTATCATTCTAAATATAATCATTTGACTAAATGGAAAAATACTACCTAATGATCTATTCTAGCACATTCATTTTCTGCATCCAGGGAGGACATATAGACTGACACTTTAGCTTTGATTCCACAATTGGGTTCATTCAATTACATTCACAATTCAGTAAAAAATTGACATAAGATAGCCTCAAACACAAAATGACAAACCTCATCTAGTAGTCAAGCCATTTCCAGTGACAAGTATTTCGGCTTGGGTTTAAAGTTAAAACTACAAAGAAAACAATGGGATAAGTTCAAACTATAGTGCATAGAGTTAACTAAAAAAATTTATGTTCCATTTTACTAACTTGCTATACAAAATTATAGATTTTATCAGTTCTATTTACTCATTTCAATCAAAATTCTAAATGTGCCGAAGTATAGAACAAGATGCAACTTGAAGAAATGAAGAATCCATCAACTATGACAATAAATTGATGCACCCAGAAAGAAAAATATACACACAGACATATATATACAATAACAACGCCTATCATGGTGTTAACTGCAATCAATAGTTGAGTAATTGAGTAATATATGAATGATGTTACTCCGTATATAAACTCAACAGTCAAAACTAAAAATTTATAATTTTTTTTCAAGTCAATTACAGTATTTAGAGAATGGATTTGGGAGCTTATAAGCAATAAGACAGTTGTTTTCTCATGGTACATCACATACAACCATAATTTTCCACAAATCACCTAATGTCAATAATTGATGATAACATCAATGAAAGGCAACAATAAATACTGACACCGCCTGTGAACCTCCTATTAACATGGTATACAAATTCATTATGTATACAACCAACAATTGCTATCTCATACCAGTGCATCCAGTAGAAACAGGTGGGAGAAAAACAATTCAAAAAACTTTTGCAATTAGATAATAAAATAAAATAGAATTTGTAGTGATTTCACTGTGCATTTGAGTGTTTAAATAGCTACAGAGTTCCTAACGCCCAACGCCCAACAATATTTCAGAACAAAATAAGGTAAATGGATTGAAAAAGAAATACTTAATTGTAGGAATTGCTTTCAATCAATTAAAAAATTAAATTAAATATTATCTCTCTGTCTCTCGATCCTGCGTTGAACTTAAGGAAAAAAATAATATAAGGAAGAAGGAAGCAGTGATTAATAAAAAATAAATTAATATTGAGATTCCATTATAATGTATTTCTTTGAATTCAATCAATTATATAATGAAGAATTCAAATAAATACATTATATTTTTAGAATATTAATAAATTTACCTCGGATTAAACTTGAAAGAAAGAAGGCAGCAATGATTCCATTTAAACATTGAGGCGTAATCCATGTTCATATCCATCCAATCCCGTTGATTGCTTCAATTCTTATTCTTTTCTCGATCTTGTTTTTAGCGTATTAGCTCTCATGGAAGGAAGGTCCGCGATTCCAGCTGTTGAGAAGGTAGGGAAGAAGATTGTAATAGTTGATTGCAGATCCGTGATATGAAAGATGAGAAGAAGAATGATTGGAGGAATAAAATGGAGATTGGAGGAATAAGCGGACGAAAACCTACGAAAGGGGGAGTCGATTAAAATTAATGGAGGAATAAAGACAATTCCCTACTGTATAATATTTAACGGCAGTTAACCCTACTTAACACTAACAGAATATGTTTGGACATTTTTGACAATAAAAATATAATGTACAACATTAATAACACAATGTACAAGAAAGTAAGCAATTCAAATACAGACAAAAACCAGGGATATAACTATCATTGAAACTTATTTTGTTTTTAGATTTTATATATATATATACATACACACACACATATAAGTAATCAAAAGACGAGTTAGGTAAGATTGTTAGTTATGTCCTTACACTAGTACAGATCTGGTCATTTGCTACTGTTGTAAATGACATTTAGCTACTGTTGTACAACAGTCGCAGATACCAGCGTCACAAAAAGCCTCGGACATTACGCGACTGTTGTGGAACAG